TTTGGGCATGATTTATAATACGGGGATTGCCAAAAATTGGCATTGGGTCAAAAAAGTATCACGGCAATAGGCCCTGCAGTTCGACTGCAGCCTTATTGGGTCATAGGGAAGACTGCAAGCCTTGGGCTGAGTGATATGGGTGAGCCCAGCAGCAAAAGGCTGCTGGTTTGGGAGGAAGCCCAGTCGAAGGCTAGCGTGTGCGTTAACGTTCGCGAAGCCCAGCTGAAGCTTGGGTCAAGTTTTGGGTAATGGCAAATCAAGTTTAGCAAGTTATAGGCTGCTGCGGCCAGGCCTATCATGGGTCAAGGGAAGCCTAGCAGCACTGGGCTGCTGGAGATGGGCCAGAGATGTTCGAACATATCCAAGAAGGCTGCAAGCTTCTCGGTTTGGGCAGGGGGACTTAGAGCCTGTGTAAGCCTACGTGGCCGAAGGCCTAGTGCCATTGTGCTTAAGTAGCAAAGCCCAAAGGGTTATTGCCGTGTGGTCCAAGGGGTCAAAACGACATCGTTCCATAATTAGCTCCACGCGGCTGGGCTGCAGGCCAGCGCGGTGGCTTGGTGGTGGTGCCATGGCTGTGATAGATTTTTCCCTTTTTTTTTTTTTTTTCAACATCTCTAGGGTTTGTAAAACCCTAAATTGCTTTTATTTATTTATATGCTTTAACTCACAAATTCCACATAGAAAAATAATTGCGCAATGCATGAAACATATATATATTGACAAATATATGAAACATATACAATATATATTGCAAGGAAAATATAAATATAAGGGGTTCATGAATCATGGGGAATGTTATGCTTTGTGGACGTTTCAAATATGTTACTTTATTTTCAGCGTACCTGATTGACAAAAAACAAATAAAAGCCTTTCAATCTTGTAGAAAAGAGCCTCCTCCTATGATCCTTTGGTTCCTTAGCTTCTGGTAAAAGCATGCTGATAATGTGTTGTAGGCCTATTTGACGGAACTATTCTAAGGGAATAGAGAGGGAGAGGCCGGCGGCAATAAGAGAGAGAAGAGAGAGATTTAATTGTGAGGTGTGTGTTGTATCACCCCCCTTGTGCCTTTATTTATAGTAGCATGATAGGTTAAATCCTTACCCTTTTAGCATTACAACTCTAATAGGATATTAACTACTAAGGAGAATATTCAAAGATACCCCTAGATACACTAAGATTTACACAATCACATTTCTATTCTAAATATGACTGCAACACTACCAAATATTTTGTCGTGCAAACAATTACTATAATTAAATTAAATAATAGAAATAATAAACCAAAAAGTCAATTTAATTAAATAAAAAAATCAAAAATAAAAAACTTTCATCGCGCAAAACCTATCTTCAAGAGCTTTACACGATGAACCATGCATGACAAAAATTTCATAGCGCAAATTTTTGAGTGATGAAATCTTACTTTGTGCAACAAATCTTATTTCGTTGCGCAAAGTATTTTTTGTAGTAGTGCAACCAAAGAGATGTAAACTTAAAGATGGGAAGGAATGGGTAGGATACATTATGCTCTCTGTTATACGATTAGTGATTATACCCGACCGTAAACCTTAACAGGTTCCTACCGATTACTTCCAATCATTTTTTTGTTGCATACAATGATATTCTACTTTAGTGCACATGTTTTAACGTTAACAAATTAATAGCAACCAGTTTTGGAATTTGAAAATTTCTTACTAAGTTTGTAGTACTTTATCCTTGGGTTTATGTTTTATTTATCAATTGAGTTGTTTCGGTTAGTCATGCGCTCAAAAATTTACATTTATTTGGGTTGCATTAATTTGAGTGATCGTTAGTATGTTTCTTTTTCTTTCGTCATAATTACTTAAATTTAAAGCACTGGTTACATCGAATAGATAAAAATTACCATAAAAGGGGGAAGGGGGGAAATAGTAGAACCATGTAGAGCTAGCGAAGGATCGAAGGTAAAAACATGAAGCTAAACAGTCTCGCATCTATGAATACAAGGCTCTTTGGATTCGTGTTTTTGTTGTTGCTTTTCTCAACTTCGCGTAAGTCTATCTCATAATAACAAGTTTTTTTTTTTTAATGTTTTATCTGTATCGAACTAATGAAGGTAAAACATGAAAACGAAAGTATCTCTAGCACAATTTTAACGATCATATATATATTTCTTTCATTTGAATACCCTATCCTTTGTTTTTTGTTAAAGAGAAGTTTTTCCTGACCATGCAAAAGAGTTTCAGTTGAAAGATTCCTCAAACAAGATTACTTAGAAGGACATCTTTGTATACCCCAACTCCATCGTGCATTTCAATATTTATTTATGTATGAATTTAGTGTATGTAGTACCACTTTTTGTGTGTGTGTGTGTGTGTATAACGAGTTCAATATTTGTTTGTTAATTTTGACTGCAGAAAATATGGTGGAAGGACGAGGGGTATGTGACGGTGAACAAATCTCAGTAAACCCATTCAGTATTTGTTTTACCGATTATCAAAACAGGCAGTGCGATAAAAAATGCAAGGCGGCTGGTAACATCCGGGGCCGGTGCACAAGTTGGCAAATGTGTCGGTGCCGAATAGATTGTGATCACCCAAAGTGTGGCGGTTCATTTTTTGGGATATGTTTTACCTACAAAAATAAATTCGGTGATGAGTAATTAATTCTCTAAGGGAAAAAAACATGATAAATGAATAAATAATCTTTTTTTAATTAATAAATTCTCTGCTTTAATTTACATATATGTTGTTGCAGAATTAGCAGAAGATATCAATCTATAATAGATAATGCTACGGAGATTAAATTTGTAGAAATTTGCAAATTAAATAACGTGTCACAATAGATATGAGCACATTTATCAATGTTTAAGTAATAATTAAATTATCAATTTTCATGTCATTTACAAATCTAGTCTTCCTAAAATTACCTATTTATAATTACTAAATTGCATTACCATTCCCCTGCAACATTGAAAACTTCAATTACAATAGCAATTACAATGACAGTTCTACGGTAAATGTCTCATTTATACTAACAAAAGAAAAAGGAAATTGGTAGAGCGATTTGTATGGCACATTATACTGCAATAATATATATAAGAATATGTGTGAAACAAAAAAAAAAAAACATAACACATCGTCTTGATATTGAGGCATCACGTGATGATTATGTGTGCCATGCAAAATGAAGGGGAGCCTATGACTATGTCTCGTTTGTACTTGCTTCATATTTTTGATATTTTGGCTCAAATACTCAGAAGTAGCTAAACCATAGGATTAAGTCATTGAAGCCAAGCTTTCAAGCATATGAAAGATGGAAGCAACACAAAACAAAAAGTTGTGGATGCACTTGAAGTCCACGCTATAGCACCCTAGCAAAAAGATCAAGGGCTCAAGTACGATCAAAGCTTAAAGACAATGCACAAGTCCAGTATTAGATTTCTATTGATGAAACACATAATTCTAGATTGTACATGCCCAACTACTGTATTCAAGAATGATCCAGATATGTTGACAAAAGTCAACCTTTGGTCAAAATGATTCTAGCTAAGGTCAACAACCCTGATTATTCCAATCTTAAAGATTCGCACATGGATCGAATTTCCGATCCTTATGTTCCTAAGGGCATCTCTTTACTTTCACAACAACATCCTCCAATTCTATAGCAATCCAACCGCAGGATATCGCCTACTACAAAGGTCAAATGTCGGTCGTTTATGAAACTATAGTCAAACGACAGAATCTTGTCAAACGGAAATTAGCAATAAAAACTGTGGTCAAACAATAGAATCTCGTCAAACGAACATTAGTAATAGAAACTATGATAAAACGTACATTAGAGATAGAAACTATGGTCGAACGATAGAATCGCGGTTGTGGACAGCCAAAACCCTTGCCAGATTTCGGTCAATACCAAATTCAACACAAATACACCAAAACGAAGCTCGTGAAGAGTATAGCAATATTTATACATGCCACAAAGCCCAACTCCGCCGGAAAACTTCGGAAAATGCCGATGGAACCGAAAAACCCTAGAACTTTAGAACTTCGATCCTCCATAGAAGGTCTAACGACTTGACTCTTGATGTCGAGGTGAGTGTAATGGTGTGGTGGTTGGCGAAGGATTGAGTAGTGCTGTCAGTTACCAACTGCTGTCCATAATAGGTGGAAGGCAGTTTGGATCAGCATCTATATATGGAATGGTCCCTGCTCAAGAGGAAAACGTTCTATACAGAAACTAGCCCTATTCTAGTGAGAACATAAGGTCCCCATTGAGTAAAAGATTCTTCCTCACCGTTTCACGTCTTTATCAGACATACAGCAGCCAAAGATGAGAAGTTATTTATTTCTTTCTAACAAATGCATTTGGGTTGAATTGATAACCAAACTCTTGTTCAGATACTGTTGAGATGTAAGCTGCATACAAGCTTAGTGTCGGACTGCAGATGACAATCCTGCAGAAAGAAGTGAAGAGAACTCTGAAATCGAAGAAGTGAAGAACTTGCTATTTTTTAGCAAGTAGCCGTTTGGTTCAAAATGTGCAACGGCTAAGTTTCTGTTTTTAGAACTCCTACAGCTGGATTCTTATCTGGTTTTTAATTGTACTGTGTTTCCCATCTTCTTGCAAGTGGATGGATGATATCCTCCAAAGTCAATTAATGACTGGAGAAGAGTTCCTAGGTCTCTAGAGTGTAGGTTCTGGTTTTTGATCTAAAAAGGTCTGATATAGTCCTTGTAAAGCTTAATGTTTTCGGTTGTAATGAAAAACACAGACTCTTGACTTCTCAACTCTCTCTTTCGAAGAACTTCAGCTTTTTCTAAAAACTATTATTCAAGATTCAATCTTTAACAAAGTTATTAATCAAATACCATGCCTGGTACCATTTCAAACATGGTATCAGAGCTTTTGGTCTGATTTCGAAGAAGGGAGTAAAGCTGTGAGAGAGGTTCCTCCTTAAAAAAAATCCCAGAAAGGATAAAGGTGGTTCCTTTATTGGTTGATTCACTGATACTCACTAAGAAAATGGTGGGATCAGGTTCTTCCAGTGGAGACTTACGAACTCCACAGTTCAATGGTGCAAACTACGATTTTTGGGCTGTCAAGATGGAAACTATCCTCATAGCGCATGATCTATGGGATGTAGTGGAACTCGGTGTACAAGTTCAGCAGATTTCTGAAGAGGAAGAAGGTTCTGGAGAGGAGGGTAGCGAGGCTGAGCAAATTCCAGTGGAACCACCAACCATCTCCAGAGAAGACAGAATCAAAAACGCCAAGGCGTTGAGTCTTATACAAGGAGCTATAACAGATGAGCTTTTTCCTCGTATCAGAAATGAAAAGACTGCAAAAGGGGCTTGGGACATTCTGAGAAGAGAGTTCAGAAGAGATAAAAAGGTAAGAGCTGTGAAACTTCAAGCTGTTAGGGCTGACTTTGAATATATGAGAATGACAGATAGTGAAAACCTAGATGACTATTTGGGTAGGTTTTTTGGAATTGAGAATAATCTGAAGTCTCTTGGTGAAGATGTAACTGAACAAAGAATTGTGCAGAAACTATTGATGAGTCTAAGTAGGAGGTATAAATCCATTGTGTCTATTATTGAGGAAACTCGAGATCTGGATGCTATTAGAGTGGAAGAAGTTATTGCATCTGTTAAAGTATATGATAAAAGGGAAGACTTACATGATGAAAGGGATAGACTGACAGGAACCGAGAGGGCTTTTAGTAGTCTCAGAGTTGGAAACAATCAGGTCACTGGCACTTACAAAGGTTCTCAAAGTAGGCCAAATCAAAAGTGGCAGGGACAAAACAAGAAGGGATCAAACTGGTCTCCGAGTGGAAGCTGAAGCAACAATCCAAGAGGTAATTGGAACAACAAATTCAATCCACAGAACAAGCAAGGAAGCAGTAGTCAAAGTCCTGTGAAACCACAGTGTCAAGTGTGCCAGAAATTTCATTTTGGTGTGTGCAGATACAAAGGAAAACCAAAATGTGGAAAGTGCAATCGTTTTGGTCATATAGTAAAGGACTGTGATGGTCACAAGCAAGTTGCTCACTGTGCAAAGGAAGAAGAAGTAACTACAGGAACCATGTTTTATGCCTGTCACTCATCAACTGTGCAAGATAGAAGTGTGTGGTTTGTGGACAGTGCTTGCAGCAATCACATGACATCAAATGAGTCTACCTTAATAAATCTTGACAGATCTGTGACTTGTAAAGTTAAAATGGGCACTGGTGACCTTGTACAAGCAACTGGAAAAGGCACTTTGGTGGTTGAAACTCAGCGTGGGAAAAGATATATAAATGAAGTATTGCTGGTTCCTGGCTTGGATGAAAACTTACTAAGTGTAGGTCAAATGATGGAGCATGGTTATTATGTCCTATTTGGGGGTAATATGGCAGTGATCTTTGATGATAACAGTCTTAAAAATGTTGTGGCAAAGGTGATCATGGCAGGAAATCGATGTTTTCCTCTCTCACTGGAGTCCATAACTCCTGCAGCAAGGAAAGCCTCGATAGTTGAAGATTCATGGATATGGCACAGAAGACTTGGACATTTGAATTTTAACAGTATGAAAAAGATGCAGCAGAAGGAAATGGTGTTTGGACTACCTGTTTTGACAGAAATGAAAGATATGTGTGAGGGTTGTGTATCAGGCAAGCATCACAGAGAATCTTTTGACAAAGGAAAAGCATGGAGAGCAAGCTGCCCACTTGAATTGGTGCATACAGATTTGTGTGGACCTATGCAAAATGAGTCCATTGGAGGAAATAGATACTTCATCACATTCATTGATGATTTTTAAAGAATGTGTTGGGTATACTTTCTAAGAAACAAATCTGATACCTTCAATGTGTTCAGGAAATTCAAAGTGTTTGTTGAACTGCAAAGTGGATACAATTTAAAGAAGCTAAGGAGTGATAGAGGTGGTGAATACACCTCAAATGAGTTTCTAGATTACTGTGCAAGCATGGGAATGGAGAGGCAACTGACTATTGCCTACTCTCCTCAACAGAATGGAGTTGCTGAGAGGAAGAATAGATCGATTGGTGAAATGGCAAGGTCTATGATGGTTGAGAAAGGAATGCCTATAGAATTCTGGGCAGAAGCTGTAAGCACAGCAGTGTACCTTCAAAATAGATGTTTTACAACATCTGTTCTAGACAAAACTCCATTTGAAGTATTCACAGGTAGAAAGCCTGGAATCAAGCACCTGAAAGTTTTTGGTTGTGTATGCTATACTCATGTTTCTTCACATCTGAGACACAAGTTCGATGAAAAGTCCAGGAAAGGAGTATTCATGGGATATGGGAGCTGTGAAAAAGGATATAGAGTATATGATCTGCAATCTAAAAAAATAGTACTCTCAAGAAGTGTAATTTTCAGTGAAAAACAGTCATGGAATTGGAAAAATGATCAAGTGGAGCCTACTTCAACTCATTTCAATCTTGAAGGATTTGACTATGAAGAAGAAGGTAGAGAGGAACAATCTGATGATCTCCAGTATAACAGTGCTGGAAGTTCTCATTCAAACACTGTTGTTCATGAGTCAGTTGAGGACAATGGTGAAAATCACAGTCAAAGCTCCACACCAAGCTCCACTCCAGTGAAATTGAAAACTCTAGAAGATATATATGCAAGGTGTCACATGTGCATTATAGAACCTGAGACTTATTCAGAAGCAGCAAGTGATCTAGCTTGGCAAGAAGCTATGAATGCAGAATTGGAGATGATTGAGAAGAACAACACTTGGGAACTTGTTGAGAGACCTGTTGATAAACCTGTTATAGGTGTGAAATGGGTGTTTAAAACAAAATTGAATCTGGATGGAACAGTTCAAAAACACAAAGCCAGACTTGTAGCAAAGGGGTATGCACAGAAACCAGGGATTGACTACAATGAAACTTTTGCACCTGTGGCAAGATTAGACACAATTCGAACTCTCATTGCCTTAGCAGCACAAAAGGGATGGAAACTGTTTCAACTGGATGTTAAATCTGCGTTTCTGAATGGTGTGATTGATGAAGAAGTGTATGTTGAGCAGCCTGAAGGTTTTGAGGTGAGAAATGCAAGTCAAAAAATCTACAAGTTAAGGAAGGCTTTATATGGACTTAAACAGGCACCTAGAGCCTGGTACAGTGAAATTGATGCTTATCTTTCTCTGTGTAAATTCAAAAGAAGTACAAGTGAAGCCACCCTATACACAAGATCTGATGATGAAGGAGGGTTGATAATTGTCTCAATATATGTTGATGACATTATCTATACTGGCAGCAATGACAAGATGATTTGTGAGTTCAAAAAGGAGATGATGCAAAAATATGAAATGTCAGATCTTGGTCTCCTGCATCACTTCCTTGGTATGGGGATATTACAAACTGATCAAGGTGTATTTATTCACCAAAGTAAGTATGCCAAATCTCTACTTGAGAAATTTGGGCTTGAAGATTGCAAACATGTGTCCATTCCCTTATCTACTGGTGAAAGACTTAAAAAGGTGGATGGGAGTGAGTTGGCAGATGAAGGGCTTTACAGGAAAATAGTTGGAAGCTTGCTGTACTTAACAGCAACTAGACCTGATCTTATGTATGCTGCAAGTCTGTTATCAAGGTTTATGAATGGACCAACTAAGAAGCATCTGGGAGTTGCAAAAAGGGTACTGAGATATGTGCAAGGGACCCTAAACCATGGCATTGAATATGTGAAAGACAAGTCTGCAATCCTTATTGGTTTCTGTGATGCAGATTGGGCAGGCAGTGAAGATGATAGCAGAAGCACTTCTGGCTATGCTTTCAGTTTTGGCAGTGGGGTATTTTCTTGGGCCTCTGTGAAACAGAACACAGTTGCACTGTCAACAGCTGAAGCTGAGTATATTTCAGCAGCTGAGGCAACTGCACAGTCAATTTGGTTAAGATTTGTTCTTGATGACTTTGGGGAAATGCAAACTGAGGCAACACCTCTATTTTGTGACAACATGTCAGCAATTTCTATGGTTAAAAACCCTGTATTTCATCAGAGAACTAGACACATAAACAGGCGATATCATTTCATAAGGGAAGCTCTGCAAGAAGGGATGATCAATGTGCAGTTCTGCAGAAGTGAAGAACAGCTTGCAGACATATTTACAAAAGCGTTGCCAAAAGATAGATTTAATCAGTTGAGATTGAGACTTGGAGTGAAGCCAGTAAGCAGCTTAGGAGAGGCTGTTGAGATGTAAGCTGCATACAAGCTTAGTGTCAGACTGCAGATGACAATCTTGCTGAAAGAAGTGAAGAGAACTCTGAAATCGAAGAAGTGAAGAACTTGCTATTTTTTAGCAAGTAGCCGTTTGGTTCAAAATGTGCAACGGCTAAGTTTCTGTTTTTAGAACTCCTACAGCTGGGTTCTTATCTGGTTTTTAATTGTAATGTGTTTCCCATCTTCTTCCAAGTGGATGGATGATATCCTCCAAAGTCAATTAATGACTGGAGAAGAGTTCCTAGGTCTCTAGAGTGTAGGTTCTGGTTTTTGATCTAAAAAGGTCTGATATAGTCCTTGTAAAGCTTAATGTTTTCGGTTGTAATGAAAAACACAGACTCTTGACTTCTCAACTCTCTCTTTCGAAGAACTTCAGTTTTTTCTAAAAACTATTATTCAAGATTCAATCTTTAACAAAGTTATTAATCAAATACCATGCCTGGTACCATTTCAAACAGATACATGTATGTGGATTGTGATTTAGGGATCTTGCTAATTGTAAAGTTCCAATATTTGGTATCAGAGCATGTATTAGCTCACCCTAAATTCAATTCTTTTAATTACTATTGTCATTGATTATATTTTGATTCTGGGCACTATTATTCTTCGATTAATGTTTGTTGGTTTTCTTCTGGGTACTGTGATCACGTTTGATACTATGGTGAAAACATCGGAATCAACTTGGGCCTTTCCTTAAAAAAAAAAAAAAACATGATCCCTCTGAGAACAAGACAGAGACTGAAATCGTAAAAGAATCCGGTACAGAAACCGCGACCGCGTCCATATCAAAAGGTCGCATACACCTGAACGCTCCAGGCCACGCAATCGTCAGCGGTGCAAGTAAACTATCGAAGAAGAGGCGTGGCATGTTGTGGTGGCATGTTGTGATTAATTGACTCATATAATTGAGTTGGCAACAATTAAAGACCGAAGACCAAATTGATTGGAGTGGTAGGTGTGCAAAGTAAAAGGGTTCCAGAAGCAAGTCGAAAACAGGAAAGAAGCAGCAACGTTAATCACATAAACACATGGAATTATGCATGTTTGACTTTGTGGATTAATAAAAGGAAAAGTCAGATGGTTGTTTTGACTAAATGGAGAGAATGAGGGAAGGCATGCCAAGTGCTTATTCTTTAACCATAAAGGAAACTAAAGCCTTCAATTTGGCAGCCAAGGCACAACAACGGCGTCGTTATGGGCATCACGAGGGAGGAAGAAAACTCAGCAAAAGCCGAGCAGCAATGGGGTTCGTCTGAAAGATTGCTTGGTTGCCTATGATATCACGAATGGCACAAGCTTGGTGGACTAATGTACATGGCCTTAATGGTTTTCTGGTTAAAGCTTTCTTTGGTTTTGATTATAATTGTTTTTTTTTTATTTTTTATTTTTTTTTAATTATAATTGTTCGCATTAATGCTTTTCTTGGTAAGTCTTATTCAGGAATTGTTGGAGTTTCTGTGGAGCTTTCCTTTCGGTGGAATTTCAAGAAAAGCATAGATGACATAAAGAAGGCAGAGAGAAAAAGGAATCAAACTCCAACAAGAATGATGCCAAGGCTGCAACAACTAGACAAATAATCATGCTATTAAACCATTAAACAAATGTTTG